TACTTTTTGTAACGTCAATTAAAGTTTATATATATTTGCGTAACAAATTAAAAATTAGGAATGCCATTGTTGTAGCCTAGGTACCATGGATGAAATTAAGCCTAATATTTCATATACACAATAGCGATGATAAGGAGGAATTTCATTTAAAAAAAAAAAAAAAAACATAACACTATGAAGGGAAATTTTTATGTAAATGAAATTTGAGATCTAATATTTTTTTTTTTCTAGATACTTTATATTTATCATGATTTAGGAATGAGAAAAAAAAATATTTTTAATTTTTTATATTAAAATTATAAAAATAATATATATATTTTATATAATGAGTTACATAGATACAAGATAAAAGATGGAGAAAAAAAAAAAGCAGACAAACTAGGAAACATCATTATCATTATATCTATAATTATATATATATATTATATAAAAGGGAAATTTTTTTTTTTTCATATGCTGAGTGGTATTTTCTTAAGAAAGTGAAAATTTCTAATATTGATTAATATGATTTAATATTTTTTTTTGTGAATTTTATCCACTTTCTCATCCCCGCTTAATTATTTTTCAATACTTAATTGTTCTTTTTATTTTTATGAAGTTTTTAAATCATTTAATTAGGCAATATAAAAATTAAATATTTCAATTAATATTTTTTAAGATTTTCATAATATATATAATATATAAATATATAATATATTTGGTTTAGTTTTTTTTAATTCAAATCAAATATGTTTATTTGTTTTTTTTGGCAGAATCAAATAGTTGATAAAAACAATACATGTCTAAATTCTATAAATTTTCATAATTTACAAATTTAATACTATATATATATATATAAGATTTTTTAATTAAGTTTTTAAAAATTCAAATCATATATATAAAGATTTTTATTAGTTTTTAAATTCAAATCAAATATGCTATTTGTTTTTTTGGTAGAAATCAAATATGTGATAAAAAACAATAAAATGTCTAAATCTTTAAATTTTCATCATTTACGAATATAAAAATTTTTATTTTTATGCAGTCTAAACTTCAAATTAAATATAGTATGTTTAAAATTTTAATAATTTGAAAAATATTAATAAAAACCATGTGTTTCAAAAATACATATTTTTTTTGGTTTGTTTGGTAATGATTTTTAATTTTTGAGTAAATTGTTAGGTACAAATTTTATTTTTCTTCTCATAATAATTAACCTATCAACGTTCATAAATAGTCTCAGTTTAAAAATAATAAAATAAGATGATAAGTAGTATTCTTCTTCTTTTTTTTTTTTTTCTCTTTTGATTTGTTTGATTATAATGTTCAGTTTTTTTAGTAAATTATAAAGATACAAATTTAATTTTTCTTCTTATTATAAGTTGAATATTTTCAAGTCGATAATATTTAAGGTCTTTGAATTCAATTTATTGTTTGTATGAGTATATCAAAATTATTATGAAAAAGGCTACCGAGTTTATCATGAAAAAGACTACTTATGTGGTTTATCTTATTTTTAAATTCAAAGAATTGGACTGATGTAAAATTAGTAGTTTAACTTTTAATTTTCTTTTGCTGATTGAGAATACGAATATTCATATATCGTCATATATAAATGGAAAGTTCAAGATTCTCTTTATGTTCACTATTCTATTTTTCTTTTTCTTTTTTTTTTTTAATTTTAAACTTTCTTTCTCTTATTAAAAGCTTAACTTAATTCTTAAATTTAACTTCTTCAGCTTATTGCCGATTGAAAGAAGAATATTGTGGTATTTCGTTACTTTGTTTGAGTTGTTTACTTGGTTTTGTTTTTTCATTTTATATTTTGCTTAGTTTAGTTTTATTTTGTTTATTTTTTGCTTAGTTTAGTTTTATTTTGTTTATTTTTGTAGAGATTTAAGTGTGTGCAATTTCAAAGGATTTATTTTGTTTATTTTTGTAGAGATTTAAGTGTGTGCAATTTCAAAGGATTTAAATATTTTTATGCAATGATGAATTAATTATTATATTTTAATAGGTTTTTTAATTATATACTTTCAATAGCTTGTGAATTTGTTTAACAAAGATTTAATACATATACATGTTTATATTGTTAAACCAAACCACAAACTAATTAAACCCATCAAGAAACCCATAAACCAATTGAAAGTCAAATAAAACATTGGGCAAATCAGACCCAAATTAAATCAAACCAGCCTTAGACCAATTAGAAGGCTCCAGAAATCCTAAAATTACGGAAAAAAAAAAAAATCCCAACCCTCCTCTCTTCTCTCCCCGATTCCTCCGACAAGCCTTTTCCCTTTCCCGTTTTGCGATTTCTGTTCACCGGAGCTCGAGCTTCGCCGATCAATCGTAGGAAGTTGCGATTTAGTTTCCGATCGGGACAGTTGATTTTCCCGGTTATCCTTGCATTTTCCGGCAAATCCAGCTCAACCGGTCGAGTCCACTCGTTGGCAGCGTCTCTCCGGTCTCTCTCTCTCTCTCTCTCTCTCTCTCTCTCTCTCCTTCCTATAACGCAGGAAGGGAAAGGTTGCGAGTTATGATTTTCCGATCGGCACAGCCTCCTTCAGTGCTTCCCTTCATTTTTCCGGCAAGACCAGCCATAATCCAGTGAAACTAGGTCTTCTGTCGTCTCCAGCACCTCTCGGTCCTCCATTGCCTTCTTCTCCGGCCAAGCTAGCGCCGGCAGAGATAAATTTGGAGAACAACTGTAACTTCTGGCTATTCTAACATAAAAATTCAATTTTCCGACGCGTTCTACTACTGGGTACCGACCCTCTTCAGTATAATTTATGAGTTTTTTTTATCAAAAGATAAGGATTTGATTCATGAATTATGTTAGTGTAGAAATTAAATCCGTACTACTACTGTTTTTAATTCGTTCTTGTTGAATTCTTTTATCACTTTAAATATATAGAAAAAGTTGAATCAATAGCTTTTGTTATCATGGTCCAAGAATAAAAAAAAAAGTAATTGTCAAATATTATTTTTTCATCATATTAATTTATTTAAATTTTTTAATTAAATTTAATTTGTGTCAATTATTGATAAATATTAATCTGCAGCATGTCATATGACTAATTTTATTATAAATCTTGTTCATAAATTTTAAAATTGAATTAAATATGAAATTAATTATAAAATATGTAACTTATTTAATATATAAGTCTTGTTGTTTAGAAAGTGCCAAATAGGATTGCTTGAATTTAGTGATGCTACGTAAGGTTAATAAATATTATGTCACATAGAATGGCTATTCATTCAACATGATGTCTAAAATTGAATGTATTGATTGTTTTCTTTTATAATTTATCAATCTTTTTTATGACGTGTGTTATACATTGACTATGCTCATTATATGTTTATTTTTTATACTCATTTAATTTTTATTTATATAATAATAAAGTATAACTTTTGTTTAAATTGAGTGGTTATATTATATTACATTTTATATATGTAATAAATATTTTTTTTTGATTCTATGTCAACATATTGATTCATATAATTTTTATTATACTTTAGTTGTTTTCATTTTCTTTTTTAAGGAAAAAAATTGATGTCATATAATTTTTTATTATAACTTTAGTTGTTTTCATTTCTTTTTTAAGGAAAAACACCAAAATTGATTTATAAAAATCAAATCAATATAGCTTCTATTATATTATTTATAATTAATTACATATTTTGTTAATACTTTTATGTATTTCTTGTAATAAATAAAATAATATGTTAATAATAAAAAAAAAATGATATAATAGATCAAATTAAATATTTATAAACAATAATAAATTTTTAATTTTTATTTTTTTAGTCAATGAAATCGTGAAGCATTTTAAAAAAATTAATTAATAAAAATTATATATTCTTTAATAGAAATAGGATTTGAATTATATAAGATATCAATGTAACTAATTAAATTCGAGATGTTTAAAAATAATAATTTTTATCCTTATGTTTGACTAATCAAATTAGAGTGCAATTTTTAATTAAAAAAAATTTAATCATATCCTTTATAAATTAAATCTGAATCATCTATATATATTTATTTAAAATAAATTAAAAAATGTAAAAATTTTCAAATGCCTCATTTATATATATTATTTAAAATAATAATGTTGAACCTAAACTATAAATTATTTATAATAATAATAAATTATTAAAAATTATATTATTAAAAATTATTAAATTATTTTTAATAATTTACATAATAATACAATGAAATAAAATATAATTAGACATAATAAGAAAATAATAGTAAAATTTTTAAATTTTTAAATGTTTAATCATCTATATGTATATGTATTTATCTATTAAAAAATTTCAAACAAAACATCAAATCAAATTATAGAGTATTATATATATATTTATGTTAAAATTTTTTAATTCACTATGACAAAGTTTATTCTAGAATATCTTAAAATTTACAAAAATAATATCAGCAATTTCATTATTCTACCCTCATTTTCACTCATTTTCACTTTTATAGTTAGATAGATATAATAATAAAATATTCATTTTCACTTTTATATATAGTATAGATAGATAGATTAGATGAATATATAATATAGATAAATAGATAGATTAAATGGAATTAATTTGTGATTAAATGGAAAAAAATAATAAATACTCAAAGGATTTAACAGCGAGTGTAATATTAAAAGTGATGAAGTAATTTGTTATTCTCCAGTCTTAACGTTTCTATATTGAAACAAAAATATCCATACTTGACTACTCTTCGTTAGAGGTTTCGACTTTAAGTTACAGGTATGAAGTGGTTTATCAGTAAACCACTGAAATAGTAATTGGTTAATCGTATGGAAAATTTTCCAAAACAAATAATAAGATTTTTCCAAGAATATAAACTTACTCTCTACTTCATGTAAAATTAAGCACACAAATGGGCCTTTTTTTTGCAGTGGATTCAATCTAACAGGAAAGTCCAAAAGACATCTACAGCCCAAATTTAACATGATTAGCTCTGCTCAAAGCCTGTCTTAGGCCCACATGAGCAGCTAATTTTTCGTCTGCCATGTCTACTTGACTACTAGCTTTAGCTCAAACTGTAAACGACTGGAGAAGAAGCAACAGCCGGCTTGCTTGGCCAATCCTCTCTTCTGAAAACCTCCATTCCTTTATATTGTCCAATTAAATGCAGTAACTGCAAACACCTAATTTTGACAGTTGCTTACCCTGAAGATGGCTGGAAGTGGCCGGAGGAGTGCGCGGAGCAGAATCAAATCCTCAACCGATGGCAGCGATGACGGCCTTCTTGGTAGCACAAAACCGAACTTGAAGTTACGAAGAGATAGAACTAAAGATCACAATTTGATTCCAATCATAAATGTTGATCTCAAAATCATGCTTGGAATTGGCGTTTTCTCGTTCTTAATTATCTTCTTCTTGATTCATAATCTCATAAAGCCTAGTGAAGAAGCTCAGCGACCTAGGGTTGTTACTCCGTTTCCTGCTCCGAAGATCATGGACCTTCCTCAGGTAGCCTTACTTCTAAATTTCGATATTTGTCTTCGCATTCTATTAATCATTGCTTAAGATTTCTTTTTATTTGATCATTGAAGTTTCAAGGAGAGCATAAAGAGAGCTTATACTGGGGAACGTATCGACCTCATGTTTATCTTGGAATTCGCGCCAGGTATTCCCTTCAAGTATTGCTTGGATGTTCGTTTATGAATTTGTTTATTTGATTATCAAAGAATCTAGTTATTTATCTAATCCGTTATTTTTTTTATTTTTTTAAATTATCTTCTTTTGTCTCCTTGCATTTGGTGACTGGCAGGACTCCTCAGTCTTTGGTCGCTGGTTTGATGTGGATTGGCATAAAAGATGGAATGTATCATATGCGACATGTATGCCAAGACTCAGATGAGCTAAGCACGTATGGCTGGACACAACATAATGCTCGTGATTTTGGACACCAAGTGCTGGTTGATCATGGCTTGAAGTTGGAAACTAGTTTCTTGAAATCTAAAAGTGAAGGCAGTGGCTATGGAGGGGATTGGGCAGTTCGAATTGATGTGCAAAGCGGAAAGTAAATAACTTCACCTGCTATCTTAATGGTTTCTCACAAATGCACGTTATGCTTCTTCTCCCCCCCCACAGATTGAATTGGCACTGAAATATAGAGATTTCAACTAGTTGAGCAATGTACATGGTATGATTATTATTGTTCCCCATGGGAAAACTTGCAGGCCTGAGTGGGATAAGGAAAATGGGCATTTGTTTTTCTATTTGGCTGATGAAGATGGAAGTGCTCTAACTTTGAGAGGAGATACCATAGACATCCGTGAGAATTCTCTTCTGGCATCAGGTTCACGTGCAGACATTGGAGGTTGGCAGCTACATTTAGAATCAAAGGTAATGTAATGATGAAGGTGATGGTGAAAGGCTTATAGTTTTCCTCCTATTCAGATACTTATATGGTAATATTGTGATTAACTAACTACATTCATAAATTATGGTTAATTGTGCTCAAGTCAACAATACCTTCGATATGCTTGTACTATGTTTTAGTTAATGAATTTTGTTCTGTGTATAACCAATCTAGCTAATATCCATCACAATTGTAGCTTCAAGTTCATATTTTTCATTACTATCCAATATGCATGCATAAGTAACCCATAGGGGGGAGATGGAAGGTTTGTTGTGTCAGTTAATTTGAGTAGTACAGTTGATGCAGGAGCAATCCTAGTCCTAATTGGATTCCTAGCACAACTAGGATTTTATTTAATTTGCTGTGTTATTTCCGATTTGCATTAGTTTTCCGTTTCCTTATTTGATTAGGATTTACTATTTTATCATTGAATAGGAATAGAGTTTTAATTCTTTCTTTAATTAGGATTCCTATTGATTAGGATTTACTATTTTATCATTGAATAGGATTAGAGTTTTAATTCTTTCCTTTAAATTAGTAATTCCTAAATCCTAGTTAAGGATTTAATCACATTATAAATAGCAGCACTAGTAGCATTTGAAATCAATCTTTATTTTTTTCCTCATAATTTTAATTCAAAGGTTATAAACCTAATTATTTACTGTTCCACCCACAAATCAAACCCTATCTAGCTTAACTTGTTAAACTGACAGCCCTAACATTTCCCCTGCGTCAACTTGGTATCAGAGCACAAAACAGATTCCTAGGAAATTCTTTTTTTTGTTTCCTGAATTAAACCATGGTTGGAAAGAGGCAGAGGCAGAGGCCCCAACAAAGAAATGAAATAGCTGAGATGGGCGGCGAATGATTGAGGATTTGAACCCCGGGCTGTACAAAGCTTTTGCAGCGTCAAGGAAACCCGTGGAAGCCCGAATGGAGACCCGGAAAGGCAACCAACCAAAACCTTGATTTTCAAAGAAGCTCCTGAGAGTGAAGAGAAGTCGAGAGTCGAGGACGTAAACCCCTTTCATGAAGCTGGACTTGCAAACCCAGCAGCACGAGGCAGATTGGAAGAGCGTTTACTTCATGCTCTTGATTTAAATAGTGGAGGAGTTAAAATTGAAGTCGCTGATTTTTATGGAAAATTTCATGCCGAAGACTATTTAGATTGGGAAATTAGTTTAGAAAATCATTTTGAATGGAAACCAATGGTTGAAACCCGAAAAGTGCTTTTTGTAAAGCTTAAATTAAAGAGTACTGCACTTCAATGGTGGAAGAGAGTTGAGGAGTAGCGTGCACGACAAGGAAAGCTTAAAATCAGCACGTGGGAGCACATGAAAACTAAGCTAAGGAAGCAATTTTTAGCAGCTGATTACGCAATGGAACTATATGAAACGCAAGGGAACTATATGAAAAGTTCCACTGCTTGAAACAAAATAACATGTCTATTGAAGAGTACACTGCAGAATTTAATAATTTTTCCATTCGAGTTGGAATATCTGAAAGTAATGAACAAATTACCTCTCGCCACCTTGCTGGTTTGAATCAGTCCCTTAGAGATGAAATGGGCATAGTGCAATTACACAATCTTGAAGATGCTCGCTAATATGCCTTAGCAGCTGAAAAGCGAGTTTCTTGTTACGGTGCTAGAAGGCCCATAAACAAAAGCAATTTGCAAAACAATTTCGGACCTGCAAGAGGGATTCAAACAACTCAACGAAGTAGGAAAGAGGCTACCGCTACTAATAAATACAATGAAGAGACAGCCCGTGTTGATGGGAACGGTAAAGGGAAAGGTATAGTACCTTATGGTGGACAAAACAATTCTAGTTCGTCTACAAGGAGAGGCAACAATTCTCAAATTTGTTGTTTTACTTGTGGAGAAAAGGGACATACTTCATTCATCTGTCCACAACGGAGGGTGAATTTAGCCAAGTATGATGAAGACCAAGGCCCTATTTTTGATGAATATGATGAGGAAGTAGAAGAAATTGATGTTATGTTCACCCAGCTCAAGGTGAGTCTTTAGTTGTTTCGAACAGTCATTGACGAAGCCATGAACAAAGGAAGGAAAAGAAAGATTGGAGGAGCGTAGCATTTTCCGTACACGTGGTTATATTTGTACACGTGTTATTTGTGAAGGCAAAGTGTGTAATTTAGTCATTGATGGAGGAAGTATGGAAAATATAATATCAAAGGAGGCCGTAGAAAAATGAAAGCTTCCTACAACAAAACATCCTCATCCATACAAAGTAGGTTGGTTGAAGAAAGGACATGAGATACTAGTAACATCTCAATGCTTAGTGCAATTCACAATGGGAGATGACTTGGCAGATGAAGCACTATGTGATGTAGTACCAATGGATGTTGGGCATATTCTAGTGGGACGACCTTGGTTGTATGATCATGATATGGACCACAAGACAAGGTCTAATACTTGCTCGTTCTACAAGGACAACAAGAAGTACACTTTGCATCCTCTCAAGGAAGAAGAAACAAGGCAACACAAATAAAAAGGAGCCTGCCAAAATAGTAAATTAATGGCTTGTAAGTGTTAAAAGAATTTTGCAGCTGCCGCATAGTGAGGTGGGAGTCACATATGCCTAGTGAGCAAACTAATCAGGAGCTGACCAAGGTTGGAAAAAAAATCAATTGAATATTCCTTTGAAATTCAACGATTATTGCAGGACATTCAAGGAGCTGATTTAATGAAGATGTAACGAAAAGCTTGCCACCATTAAGAAGCATCAACATGCCCTATTGATTTGGTACCAGGACAGCTTTACCAAAATCTGGCCTTGGCAATATCCGAATGCCTCCTTAACAGCGGGCCCTTGAATAGAAAGACATGTTTAAGGAATTATTGGAAAAAGGTCTGGTGCGTGAAAAAGCAAAAAGTCATGTGCCTGCCCAGCCTTATTAAACACCAAAGAAAGACGGCTCTTGGAGAATGTGTGTTAGATAGTTCGTGCTATAAACAAAGATTACAATCAAATATCGCTTTCCAATACCAGATTGGAGGATATGCTTGATCAACTAGGGGTTTCTAAAGTGTTCTCCCAAAAATTGACTTGAAAAGTGGATATCACCAAATAGAGATGAAGGCATGGTGATGAATGGAAAACAGCTTGTTTAAGACACCCAGATGGGTTATTGAATGTGTTAGTAATGCCCTTTGGGCCTTTCTAAATGCACCAAAGCACATTCATGAAGAGTCATAGACAGATGTACTCAACCTTTCTTGAATTTCTTTCGTTGTGGTATATTTCGATGACATTTTGATTTAAGCCGCACCGAGGAAGATATTAAAAACACTTGCGACAAGTGTTAGAAAGTACTTCGTCCAAGAGCCCAGCTGCAACATAAACCTTAAAAAAATGCAGTTTCCCTGCAACAGGAAGTGGTATTCCTAGGAATACATTGTGTCCGCTTGACAGGATTAAAACCAGATCCAGAAAAGGTTCGTGCAAATTACCCGAATGGCCGAGCACCACAATTCCATCAAAATAAAGTTAGACAGCCTTTCATGGTTTGGCCTCTTTCCTATAGGAGATTTATTCCAAAATTTTCAGCTTCAATTATGAGTCCCTAATAATTGAATCTATGAAAAGAAGAAAAGTTTGAGTGGAACAAATTTTGCACAAAAAGGCATTTGAAAGAATCAGTTTTTGATGACTAGAGCCACCTGTTTCTTGGCACTTCCAGATTTTGAGAAATTATTTTATTGTCGAATGTGGAAAATGGTTTCACATGAAGGGAATTGGAGCCTGTTCTTAAGCCCAAGAGGGCAGACCTCTTGAGTTTAGTGGAAAAGTTGTCTGAAGCTAAGAAGCGTTTACTCAACTTAATGAATCTAGAGTTTCTATCGCCCTTGGTAAGAGCTATTCGCATTGGCAAACATTACTATACTTATCGTGACGTTTGGTGGTTTTTTCCTGATCAAATCAGGCCTTGAAGGTATCTAAAATCATCAGAAAAACTCAACTCAATCGACATGCTAAGTGAGTTCTTTCCATTGATGAATTTAATTTCTCACTAAAGTATAATCCGGGCAAATCTAATATTGTGGCTTGATGCATTGAGTAAGAAGATCCCTAATTTTGTCAAATTTTGAGGCACTCAAAATTTTTTTTTTTTATAAAAAAAAAAAAAAAACTGGTTTGGAAGAACTGAAAAACCAGTAGAATTCAGATTCATGTTGGGCAAAGAATAAAGGCTAATTTAACTGCATTCTTCTCAAGCTGAAAAGTCTGCCATAAACCGATTGCAAATGGTTATTTATAAATGGAATAAGCTATGCATTCGCTGAAGGATCTTTTAAGGGAAGCAAATCATTAGAGAACTTCTTTAAGGGAACAAATCATTAGAGAACTTTATGGAAATGGTTTGGGAGGACACTTTGGTAGAGACAAGACTTTTGCGATTGTTTCTGACTGTTATTATTGGCCAAAGATAAAGATGTGAGAAAATTGGTGGAACGATGTCCAGCCTGTTTACTTGGAAAGGGAAGCACGCAAAATACAGGATTATATACTCCTTTACCCGAGTCAGATGCACCTTGGGTTCACTTGAGTATGGATTTTGTTTTGGGACTTCCAAATACAGCAAAGGGATTTGATTCTATATTTGTTGTAGTGGATCGTTTCTCTAAAATGGCTCATTTTATCCCATGTTTAAAGACTTCTAATGCAATTCATATTGTTGAGTTATTTTTTCGAGAGATCGTGAGACTACATGGTGTTCCAACTTCTATTGTTTCCGATAGAGATGTAAAGTTTATGGGGCACTTTTGGAGGACTTTATGGAGAAAATTTGGAACAGAATTGAAATATTCCAATACTTGCCATCTGCAAACAGACGGTCAGACGGAAGTTGTCAATCGTAGTTTGGGAAATCTATTAAGATGTCTCGATGGGAGCAATACAAAGACATGGGATCTAGTTGTTCCCCAAGCTGAATTCGCATATAACAACTCAGCCAATCGAAGTATTAAGAAGACTCCTTTTGAGGCTGCTTATGGACTTAAACCTCAGAATGTACTCGATTTGGTGCCCTTGCCCCAAGAGGCTAGAGTAAGTGCTCCAAGAAGGCTCAGAGTAAGTGCCTGAAGGGGAATTGTTTGCTGATCACATCAGGAAAAATTCAATACCAGAAGTGAACAGCTGCCTTAAAAAGAGCAGGCAATGCCATCAATAGTGCCTATACCAGCCAACCAGCATCGGCGCGTACAAGAATTTGAAGAAGGTGATGCAGGTTCTCGTCCACCTTAAGACTAGAGAACGTTTCCCCTAAAGGAAACTTATATAAGCTGAAATCTAGAAGGTTGGACCTTGTAAGGTTGGACCTTGTAAGGTGTTGAAGAAGATCAGTTCCAATGCCTATGTAATTGATCTTCCATCTGATTTACAAATCAGCCCAATTTTTAATGTTTCAGAATTGTATCCTTTTCATGAATTTGATGGAGTGCCATCCTCCATTGAAGCACAAGTACAAGAGCTGCCAATTGCAAAGGCTGATGTTATTGAGGAAGTGTTGGAAGTCAAGGAAGCTCGTTCTAGGTGTGGCAACCAATATAGACGATTTTTAGTTAAGTGGTTTGGAAAACCAGCAAGTGAAAGTACTTGGATTTCTGAAGAAGAGCTAAAGCAAGTTGATCCAGCCATATATGCGGAATATAGCAAGGCTTACTCGTCGGAGCCGAGTCTTTTTCAAACCCGGGGAGAATGATGCCCAGGAGCAATCCTAAGTCCTAATTGGGATTCACTAGCACAACTAAGGAATTTCATTTTAAATTTGCTGTTTTATTTCAATTTGCCATTACGTTTTCCGTTTCCTTATTGATTTAGGATTTACCTATTTATAATCAATTGAATAGGAAATAGAGTTTTAATTCTTTCTTTTAATTAGGAATCCCTAAAAATCTAGTTTAGGATTTATCAACTATAAATAAGACAGCACTAGTAGCATTGTAAATCATCTTATTTTTCCTCATGAATTTTAATTCAAAAAGGTTATAAACCTAATTATTTACTTTTGTCCAAGGGCTACAAATCAACCCTATTCTAGCTTACTTGGTTAAAAGAAACTGACAGCCTACAATTCAAAGGTTATAAACCTAATTATTTACTGTTCCACCTACAATCAACCCTATTCTAGCTTACTTGTTAAAAACTGACAGCCCTACATCTTCCCCCTGCGTCAACAGTGAACTCATATGAGGGATATGAATGTTCCTCCATGTGATTGTTCTGCTTATAGTTCTTATTCTTTGAAACAGTGGATGGACATGTGAAGTTTCTCTGCTTTGTGTATTAGTTGTGTGTGTGTATTCACCAACTACAATTTAGGAATCTCGTGTCGTTTAAATCTTATCATATTTCATCTCACTTTACCATGAGTCTTGTAAAATATTTCCTCTTTGATATTGAACTGTAGCCAACTTGTTTTTTAGGATGATTTGGAGATCCACTATTCTGGATTCAAGACACCTCATATTCACAATTTGTCTGATCTTGTCCTGCAAAATCTCGGGGTGCAAGTATGTTGGTTTTTATCTTTATGTCAATTTTTTGCTCCATTATCATATAAATAGGGGAAGTATGCATCTTCTAACTTATGAGAATGGTTAATTTCTTGATTTTTCTGTTTGCACATATGCATTTTGCCAGTTAAGGAAGTTTAGACTGCTGCAGCTGTCTGACTCATCTAATGGTTCTCCAAATATCTTAGTTTTTCAGGCGAGTGGGATGCTATCTGTTCTATAATACACATATTTTTTTTCCTTAAGTAAACGTTATGATATTCATCTTTCTTCTGCGACATCTTGAAGTTTGTAATGTTGTGCAGATTTCTGCAAGCATTCCATTCAAAGCAGATGTTGCTTTTGTATCTGGAAGTGGAGTAAGAAATTCAAGAATAAAGGAACGTGTAGACAGCCTAACAGGTTTTCCACATCTATTTCATCTCAATAAAATATTCTTAAATTTAATTTTCTATGGATTATGTTATGCGACCTCTTCTGCCTACAAAGTGGAAAAGTATAGATTTTTTTTTTTTTGTTTTCCATTATTTCAGATTTAAAACCATATGTTATTGTTTTGCGGTTTCCACATTTTGGAAGCTCCAGGTTTATGTCAAATTCAATTGTAATATTCTTTATTATTAATTAGATTATTTATTTATGTGAACCATTTCCTTTATAATTTTTATCTTTTTCTTGACTTCAAGTGAAACTCTATTTGTAGGCTTCTAAGTGTTGAAATCTCTGTTTCTCCCAGAAGATTCTTACTTTGGTCGATAATTTCAGGTAACTCAATGACAAGTCAACTACAGGAGAAGCAATCAGAATTTGATGCAAAGTTCAGAAGGTGCTTTGATGTATCTGGCAAGGTATTAATCTTGAGATTCAGGAACTGCATAGCATTATAGTCCGCATATTCAGAAACTCTTAGCCACACTGATTTAGAAAGATAGCAGATATAGTCGTCCTTTCATATCATTTCAATTTTCAATGTCCCTTGAAATAACAAATGTAGTGGTAAAGTTGATTCTCAAAGGTTGTAATTAAATAATCTATTCTTGTTTTGTATGTCAATTAAATATAAGCAATCATCATGCACTGTATCAAGGTCAAAGCCATCTGAGTCCCTGTTTTCTCCTTTAATGGTGCTTTTTCCACATCCTCCCCCCCCCCCCCCCCATTTAATGGTGCTTTTTTCCAAGCATGCCTCCCCCCCCCCCAAAAAAAAAAAAAAAAAAAACAGTTTATGATGCTGGAAATGGGACCTTGAAATCATGCATTTGTCTTCCTGATGCAGGAGCAATCCTAGTCCTAATTGGATTCCTAACACAACTAGGATTTTATTTAATTTACTGTTTTATTTAAGATTTGCATTAGTTTTCCGTTTCCTTATTTGATTAGGATTTACTAGTTTATCATTGAATAGGAGTAGAGTTTTAATTCTTTTTTTAATTAGGATTGCTAGTCTAGTTAGGATTTATCACTATAAATAGACAGCACTAGTAGTATTGTAATTCATCTTATTTTTTCTCATAATTTTAATTCAACGGTTATAAACCTAATTACTGATTACTGTTCCACCTATGATAAACCTTATTCTAGCTTACTTGTTGAAAACTGACAGTAAACCTTATTCTAGCTTACTTGTTGAAAACTGACAGCCTTACATCTTTCCCCTGCGTCACTTCCTAATACATTGTCCTCTGGCTGACCGTTATAACTTTTTGCAACTGTTGCCCGTCCTTTAGACATCTTTACAACCATATAGAAGTAGGTAATATGGACAATCTCGTGCTCTGACTTCCATAGGGAAAATTTAAAGGACTAACTAATGTGGAATATTGCATACATGACTGGCATAGTCCAAAATTCTATTCTTTGCTCCAAAAGATAAATTCAATTCCTTAATATTTTAGCTAAACAATATAGAATACTGACATTGTCTGAATATTTGTTCAGCTTGAATCTGAATCTGTAATTGTCGGTAAGGCTGCTGTCGCCAATATGTTGGGAGGCATTGGCTACTTTTATGGTCAATCAAAAATTTCCTACCCAAAAAATTCTAATGTAAGTTACATGTTTTGATTTCAGAGTTTATTTTTAATGCAATATGTAATCTATTAAATGGGCATATGATTGGTATATGAACATATTAACTGCTTCTTTTTCTTTCATATAAAGAGCTTCTTTTTTTTTTTTTTTTTGATTGTTTTTTTTTTTTTTTTTTTTTTTTTTGGGTTGATTGGTTGGGAGGGGGACGTTTTATGAATTCTTAATCTTCACTTCAAAGAAGTCGCTCAACCACTGGGCTACTGGTAAACGGTTTACAATAATCTTAAGTACTGATTCTTAGTTCATTTACTTAGCTTTTCTTTCATTCTTGAATTATTTTCTTCTGTAAAACACAATCTAGAATGATTTATTAGGTCAACAGAATATGGCTAGATTGAACTTAGTACTACTAGGGGTAGAGAGGGAGATCATTGGTCGTTGTTGTATGAAGAAGATAGGGAAAAATGAAAGTGAAGAGGAAAGAAGCCATCATAAGCTAAGAGAAGGGAAAGGGGAGAAGGCGGGGGGGAGGGGGGGGGGGGGGGGGGGGGGGGGAGGGAGGTGGGGGGGAGGGAGGTGGGTGGGGTGGGGAGAGGAGTACACCAGCAAAAAGATAAGAATTTTTATCTTGTCTTTCTCTGTGCTTCCCTTCTATAGAGATAGAACCACTGGATTCTGACCTTCATAAATGAAAGAATAAAATAAAGGCCTTGTGCTTGAAATTTTCACGTTCAAATATGCCATTCTCTTCTTCCAAAGTTCAGCTGGAAAAATTGCTGCCTTTGCATTTGGTACTACCTGTAATCGTTTTGAACATCTGACAAAGTCATACAGTGGGCATTTTTTTCTGCAGCACGAAGGTCATAATAATTTTATTGCATATTGGCCAGCTGAGCTTTACACAGCTGTTCCAAGTCGCCCATTCTTTCCAAGGGGATTTCTATGGGATGAAGGTTTTCATCAGTTACTGATTTGGTTAGTTTCCTTCTTTTAATCCTCCTCTGAATGGAAATTTTGAGTTACTTCTTTTTTTAACTACAATTAAATGTATGGTTTCAAAATTTTTGGAAATGAGCAGGCGTTGGGACGTTAAAGTAACCTTGGATATTGTTGGCCACTGGTTAGATTTAATGAATGTGGATGGGTGGATTCCACGGGAGCAAATACTTGGGTCTGAAGCTCTGAGGTAATATCAGTCAAGTATAGTTAACAAATACGTGCAGTAAATTTCGTGCCCAATTTATTTGGAAGTAAATCTGAACCTTAAAAATAAAATAAAAAATAAAAAGAGTTTTGAATTCATTTTATTGCTTGAGTAATCATGCAAGGTCTTTTCTGGTGTAATTGCAGTAAGGTTCCCGAGGAATTTGTTCTTCAGTATCCAACTAATGGAAATCCACCGACCTTATTTCTGGTTATAAGTGGTAAGGTTTTTTTTTAATTAAATTTTATATACTGGGTTTTCAATTTTATGATTGTAAGCATCAGCAAGCATTAAACGTAATTATTAAAGTGTATTATAGCATTTGATTCATCTCTTTTGCTACTATTTTTATCTTGTAGAGGAATGAGGAAATATCTTTTATCCTTACCTCAACCAAAAAAGGGGAAAAAAAAACTTGCTGTCCTTTAGCTTATGTCCATATTCGATATTGGATTGATCAAGCAAAGTTCTTTCTAAATTTGTCAGTGAAGAGTGCCGTAATAAGGTGATGGTGCTAGCTTCTGAAACAAGTAAATGAGCTGATGCAAATTTCTTCTGTTTTAATGTTTCAGTGGAGGTTTCAGTGGAGAAATCTACGAAGTCATTGATCCTACATTGCTAGACTTAAGTAGACTGAATTAAGTCAACCTGCATTTGGGTTTTATGGTGGTTTGCAGCTTCGTTAGGCATGTATGTGATATACCCTTCTAAAAGCAGAATAAGTTTTACAAAAGTACATTGGAACTTATCATATTTGGAAGTACAAAAATGTGGAACTGAATAATTATTTCTCGTCTTACCTGTGCCAATCGTCTGGTGGTTCAAACGAGTTGTGTAACGTTGCATACTCCTTGATGATCACCATTGATCTGGTTTTAGATATATACATATTAAACCTTGCAACAAAAATCATGTAACAATAATCAGAAGTGTAACATGAAAACAATGCTTCCTGATGATCACACATTGATCTGGTTTTAGATAATATATTTCTTTTTGAATTATGCATATTAAAACTTGCAATGAAGTGATGTAATCATAATCAGAAGTGTAACATGAAAATTATGCTTCTTCCAGATCTACTTTATGGCATAAAGAACAATAAGTTTACCTCTGCTGAAAACAATGAGATCACTTCTTTCCTAGAGCGGGCTTATGTTCGTCTTGAAGCTTGGTTCCAGTGGTTCAATACCACCCAGTCAGGTACTCCACCCTTCCAATTCCAATTCGGATTTTTTTTTATTTTTTTTTTTGAGATGGGGGGGCTGGGAGTGGGTGAAGTTTACGAGGTATTGGATTGATGTTGTTCTTGAAATGAACAACCTTGGTTTTATTATGATATTTCAATTTTGCTTTGCCCTATTTGAAGTGTGTGACATGTTGTCAAAGCTCCGAAAATAGGTATTAGACTTGAGGTCATTTGAAACTTTACAAACTGTGTTAAACAACTATACATCTGTTGCTTGAATGATAACAATTGACTTACATATGCAACCAAGGTCATTGAACTTCAGGCTTTAAAGTATTCTTGAATTTTCCTTTGGTAGGGAAGTGGACATTCATCTTTCCAAAACATGTCTGGCAGATGTTTGGACAACTAGTACAAGACATTTGCTTAATTTAATTGTTAGCATGTTGACTTTTTTTTTTGGTTGACTTTTGTGATCTAGGAAAGGAGATTGGAAGCTATTTTTGGCATGGGAGGGATAATTCAACAATTCGTGAACTAAACCCGAAGGTCCTATTTTAGAGCATTTCGTAGTTCTCTCTTTCCTCTGGAGTTGAGTTATTTAAGAGTACAGATCATATAGTATGTAATTTTAGGCAAAGAGTCCTGCAACAGTATGTTTAAATGTAATTGACTTTACAATGATTATTAATCTTTTTTCCAATCAAAAGATTTGCCAAGCTGTGCTCATTATATCTGCGTGTACAGACACTGTCCTCGGGGCTGGATGATTATCCCCGTGCATCACATCCAAGCGAAGAAGAACGTCACTTGGATCTTAGATGCTGGATGCTTCTTGCTGCAAATTGCATGCATTCCATATCACAGCTGTTACAGAAAAAATATGAGTCTGGAAAGGTATAGTAAAAAGGTCGAGTATCTGGATACAGGAATACTAGGGAAATAAATTTAATGCTTCATAGGTCTAAAAGAGTTTGGCTCAATGCAGGACTATGGTTCAATAGCCAATCTACTTTCAGATTTTGAACTGCTGAATCAGGTTTGCGATGGTTTCAATGCTTTATAAGAATAGCTTAAATTCCCTTACTTTTTAACTATACCAGATTGTCAGTATAAAATACTTTTGATGTCATGTTTAATTGTATAAAACTGCAGCGTGCAGTTGGCCCTATTTCTGTTTTTCTTTTCCCTCTTTGGGTGTCTGATTGACTTGTCATGTTTTATCAGATGCACCTTGATCCTGAATATGGAGCATATTTTGATTTTGGAAATCATACTGAAAAGGTTCTTTCTTGTTTCTCATTATTTCTTCTCAGATACACAGGGAAGATGTGCCTATGCTATTCTGACTGTTTAGTTGTTGTAATTTCTATGTTCGTTGATGTGCTTATGTCCCTCTTCATTGTTGGTTTTATTCCTTTTATGGTCTGTCCAGATGTCCTATCTGTGTTATACAGTACTGGAATTTGCTAAGCCTACTGTTACTGCTACTCTTACTCTTATTAAGAGTGCAAAATTATAGGACTAAAAGCATGTCATATTATAATAAATAGGTCTGGATAGATCATTGTTGTTCAATTGGGTTCTTTGTTCCTATCCTGTTGAGTATCTCCTCTATAAATTTGAGCATAGTTTTTTCTTTTTCTTTTTTTCTTATGTAGTATTTTGACTGATTGATGAATGTCCTAGGTTCAATTAAAAGAAGCAATCGAGGAGAATAGTCATGTAAAGCAAGTTGTTCGGGAAGTATTAGAAAAGCCAGAGTTGAGACTGGTTCCTCATGTTGGTTATGTGAGCCTTTTTCCATTCATGAGGAGGATCATTCCATCTGTGAGTTGCATTGAACATCTATCATGAAAATATTGCTCCATGTGTTCTTGGGCACTCTTTCTTTCTATCTTTGTACAATGGACGTGTCATAATGTCACTTATGAGTTTTCAGTGAGCTTATCCTTGATTCCGATTTAAAACTTCATAATGTAGGACTCATGGATTCTAGAAAAACAGCTTGACTTCATCTCAAACAGGAGTGTTTTGTGGACTAACTATGGACTCCGTTCTCTTGCCAAAACCAGGTGATGATTTCCGTAGCCTAGTTATATGAAGATGTCTTTTATTTTAGTTGTTGATACTTGTTTGAGGGATTATACTACTCAAAAATGTATGAAATGTTATCTTGTATTGCACAGTTCCCTGTACATGAAACGCAACACAGAGCATGACCCACCTTATTGGAGAGGTCCTATTTGGATGAACATGAATTACATGATTCTTTCTGCACTCTACCACTACTCCAAAGGTAACAAGTCCCTGTCTCCTTCCCCTACCCATACACCCATAGAAGAGATGTTTAAATTTCATTCAACTCTTGCAGAAGATGGACCATACAGAGAGAGGGCCAAGATAATCTATGAGGACCTAAGGAGCAATTTGATTAGGTAAAGGTTCACAATTTTTACCTTTTTTTAAGCATATAGTTGCACCAATAAAATTGTTTTTGCCGTTTTGCTACAGAAATGTGGTTCAGAACTATCACAAAACTGGGTTTTTGTGGGAACAATATGATCAGACTAAGGGTAAAGGAAAAGGCGCACGCTTGTTTACTGGTTGGACATCACTCGTGCTGCTTATAATGGCAGAAACCTACAGCTGAGCTAACATCACTTTTCTTAGAGGAACTAGTTTACAAATATCTGATCTGATGTAATATTGATTTTTCATCAGCAACAGCGAAAAACATCTTGGGTTTTAACAGAGTCCTTTTTGGTTAATAGGCTAATATTAATTGTTTGATTCTGTCTAAGTCGTAATATCTTGGATAGAGGGATAAAGCAAAAGATAATATATTACAAATTACACAGAAACATCACAATACTCCTTTATAAAAGCGATCATCTATTTGACTATGGCAATAATGCTTTGTGCTCTGTCGAACAATTGAATATTTTTACATGATGAAGGCACCTTCTTTAATTTTTAAGGCATGTGCACCTAATGCTGTCTTTCTCCCCACCACGTCTTTCTTTAACTAAAACTTTAAGTTTTATCAATTAGAGGTAACTATTCTGTGGTTTTGATTTAAATCAAATTGAATTAATTTTAATTTTCTGAATTGTTCTCTGTCATCAACATTGACAGTCAAGAGTATAGAGCCAAAAAATTTCAGTTCTTTTGCTATAATTTTAAATCTTTGACCTCTAGAATTTTGAAATGCTGTTCGGAAAACACTTTGTTTACCTATACCTCAAACTAACAGTTTAGGATTTTAAACACTAAACTCTAGCTCTCAATCATTCGTCCAAAACCCTTGATCTTAGATCTATCTAAATCATACATAACCAATCCCAAATCTGAGATGAATAACTGAGAATCATCTAATACCTCAAATAGATACAACAGTAGAATAATTTATCTTCCAAAAAGGTGGTCCTAAAACAGGTGGAATGGAGGAAAGAAAAAAAAAATCTATATGACCAACCCTTACTAGTTTGGAATTTAATATGGTTGAACGATGTCTTGTATATTACTCCTTTGTCTCAAAATGCAAGTAGTTTAAGGTTTTTACACAAATATTAAAAAAGTAATATTAATTCTCTTAAATTATAACAAAATTTGGAATAACTTGACCAAATTACCCTTTATCCGAAAACTGAGAATAATTATTATATCTTATTCAAATAAGGTTAACGTTGGAAAAATATAATTTATTACTTCTTAAATTATTCAAAACGACTTATATTTGGAAAAAGATAAGCGCTCAAAAATAATTTATATTTTGGGACAGAGGGAGTAAAAATTACTATACAATGTGGACCAGTTGCTTTTAGCCTAGTGTATTAGTTGGAATCTATTGAGTTTAGTTGAAGTCTTTACAATATTATATCTTTAGACATACTCTTTGCTCAATAATCAAATCCATTATCACAACTCATTCTTTGCTTTTAACCTTAAAGAACTGCCAACAGCAAAGCCACCATTTGCACCCAACTAATCCTCTTTCCCTTTTTTTATCAAGCAAACTACATTGTGCTAAATGTTCTATATCTTATATTAGTAGTTCCTTCTGCAAATACTTTATTCCTGTAAGGTAAGAGTCACAATGAGCTTGACAAGATTGATTCTTGTATTTACCTTTCTTCTCCATCTTCATTTCGCCTTGGGGTCTGACCCGGATCCTGTCCGCGACTTCTGCATACTTAAATCAGATTCAGCAGCTCATGTTTCTTGCAAGAACTCATCAGCTGCAACAGTAGAAGATTTCATATTTTCTGGGATACAATTGCCTAAAGAATTTGATGAAACAGGACTATCTTCTATTCCAGTGAATGTGAATGTCTTTCCAGGATTAAACACATTAGGCCTGTCACTTGTTCGTGCTGATTTCGAAGTTGGTGGTGTCAATGTGCCTCATTTCCATCCAAGAGCAACTGAAGTTGCAGTTGTTTTAGAAGGGAAATTATATTCAGGGTTCATTGATACACAGAACAGAATTTTTGCTAAGGTGATTGAGAAAGGCGAAGTAATGGTTTTTCCGCGAGGTCTAGTGCATTTCCAGATGAATGTGGGAGATAAACCTGCAACTATTCTGGGAAGTTTTAACAGTGAAAATCCTGGTCTGCAAAGAATCCCAAATGCTGTGTTTGGATCAGGTATTAAAGATGAGCTTTTGGAGAGGGCTTTTGGATTGAAAGGTAAAGAGATTGCCAAGTTGAGAAAAAAATTTGCTCCACATGAGTAGTTGAGCTAAAATGAATAAAGGGTATCTGTCAATTTATGGATATATACCATGTGAGTTGATATTTAAACCTTGCATTGTATATTTAATTGCAAATATTTATAAATCAAGTTCATTTTTTTAGAATGCATTAACAGAATGAAATTTCAGTAGTTTGGTTTCTGGTTTAGTAAAAAACCTTGCAAGCATTTATAGGAAGCGTTTTGATCAGCCCATGTTATGCATTGCTTTCTAGGGAAAAAGAACAAAAATAGAAATGAATTTGTGTTTCTGTTTAACTGTTAGCTCGGTAAAATTAGCTGTTTTAGTAGCAGTTAGCAGTTTTAGTAGCGGTTAGCAATTTTAGTAACTTTTAGCTATTTTAGTAGCGTTTAGCTGTTTTAGTAGCTTTTCATAAAACCGTAAAAGTTAAACGTTGTATGGATTAACCTTTTATTAACCTCTAAAAAGCTAGTTTAAATGTTATGTTAACAAGGTAAAAATAACATTTAATATTTTGATTGGTCAAAACGCTAAAAACTACATAAAAAGTTACTGCGAACACAATCAACATCTTTCAATCTTCCAGAGAGGTATCTTTTAGTCTGGCAATTGGCAAATAGGGCTGCAAGGCAATTTTAGTTGGTGAAAAGCTGATTTTTTCCATTGGTGATTTGCATAAATCTGTCTCTATAATTCCCAAAATCATCATAAACTTTAATTTTTTTAATTACTGATGTTATTTTTACTTCCTTTATACTCTAAATAATTGGTGTGTCCTTGAGTTGGGGCCAAAGCATAAAATAGGATTTTCTGTTGGTTAACAACACTCATAATTAGGCAGCATATGCACATAGGATAAGCATTCTGTTTGGATTGGTAAAGCAAAAGTGAATGATTGGTTAACTCTATGTCTCTTTATTATGGAATTAGTCATTAGAACAGACAGTAACACATTAACTAAAAGTTAAGAAAGAAGCATTTGACCCCAATAAGAATTTACTGTTCTTTTCTTTTTCCTTGGATTCTTTTTCTTTATTAACTTTTTTCCTTCTCAATTTAGATGTATAGGATTCTATGGAACTCTCATTCAAATTTACCTTTATATTTTTTACCCTTTACCCTTTTTATTTTAATTAATAATTTAACTAATATATTCACTTCTTCACAATCTCATCATCTTACTCTGCCATAAATGGTTAATTTGAACTGTTAACTCAACCCCTTCCCTTAAGCTGCTTTAATATAATTCTTTTTCTATTTTTTTTTTTAAATTTTTGTTCACGTTCAACTGATATGGTAGGGTAGTTTACACACTGTTTATTATTAAGTTTGTATTCAACAATAACTTTTTAAGTAACTTTAGTGTTTTAATTCGTCAAAATATTAAATGCTATTTTTAATAGTGTCCATTAACATATCATTTGAACTAATTTTTAAAGATTAAAGTAATATTTTATAAAATGTTAACATTTTATTGTTTTGAAAAACTCCTCCAACAGTTATCAGGCACCAAAATAGTTAATTTTGCCAAATATAGCCTAAGGTTAAAACTGTTTTTTCAAAAATTATCATTTTAGATTTTTTTTTTTTTTAAAAAAAAAAAAAAAACTAAGGTTAAAAACTGTTTTTTCAAAAAATTATCATTTTAGGATTTTTTTTTTTTTTAAAAAAAAAAAAAAGGTTAGGCAACAGAACAAGCTAATTAGAACCCGGCCCCCCGGGGGGGGGGGTGTGTTGGGTGGGGTGGGGCGGCTTTTACATTATGGTGAGTTCAAACCTTGCTTTTTCCCAAAAAAAAAAAAAAAAAAAAAAAAAAAAAAAAAAAAAATGTTTTGCAATAAGATCTTCAATTTGCCTCTCCTTTGGTTTGCTGTATTAAAAATTTACCTCCCCTTCTATTTAAATCCTACTTAAAACCTAGAAGTGTTGTTTAGCTATTATGTAACTTTTTTTTTTTTTTTTTTTGTTTTGAAAATAGCTTAAAATATTCAAATAAACCCTAAAAATTTTACTCTAAAAAGTTGGACAAGACAAAGGCAATCCATACCAAAAAATAAGTATTGACCAAACATAGTCTTTTTTTTTTTTTTTTTTTTTGTGAAAATAGCTTAAAATATTCAAATAAACCCTAAAAATTTTATCTCAAAAGTTGGATCAAAGACAAAGGCAATCCATACCAAAAAATAAGGGATTGACCAACATAGTCATATCCAAAGCTAATGACAAAAGAACAAAAGAGCAAGCAAGAAACATAGTGATTATTTCAGCCAAGACACAATCATCCATTTCTCATTATAATACAACACCAAAAACACAAATCATTACTAGTCATCACAGACACTAAATTAAGATGGCAAACAAAGCCTAATTAAATTTTAGTAGAAGAGTCATTCTACCCATTCAAGTTACCTATTTTTCCAGCTACAGAATAGCACTTAACATCTCATTCCAGATATCAGGCACTCCAGGGAGGCACCAATGGCTGCAATCAGAAGAAAAGGCTTTTGGGTGCTGCCTTTCTTCTTGGCTTATTGCCCTTTTATACACAGAAGGATGCCCATCTCTTCGTAAAGCCGATATCGTTGTGATATCTTGTAAATATACGGGGAAACTCATTTTTCTCAGTACTTCTTTTAGTACAACCATTTGTTCGGGGACATGTTGGTGACTAAAGAATGCTAAAGGTTTCCTTTGGTTATAGCACTTCCAGCCATTTTCCCTGCAAGGAAAATTTGGTGATTATAATGACATTATATATACATTTATCATGTGCATACATATATAAGATATGCAGCATCTACCTGTTATGCCTAGGAGACATGCTTCGAAAAATGACTCTGGTTTTTCGAGGATCGAGATTTAGATCAATCCATTTTGCCCATGTAGTGAGTCCCTTCTGATAAGCAATCATTGGGTTCATATTTTTAATGAGTCTCTGGCCTTCCATGTAGTAGTCCCACCTGAAATTTTAGTTGTGTATATGGTGGTTCAATTAAGATTAAGGTATCATACTAGTTGAAGAAAGTGATACATTTAGAAGGCAAAAAACAGTAAAGGGTTAAATCCATTTCTTACGAACTCCATTGATCAGAGTGAGTCCACCAGTGAGCTGAATCAAACACAAGAATGTCAACATTTCTCCAATATCTTGCATTCTCTTCAATCATATCCAAATGCAAAATTCTCTTGTTTCCGGCTCCTTTCTTCAATTCCACTAGCAATGGAGCCCATGTAAACTCAATTGTGGTCTCAAAGTCCTGTTTAAACCAGATAAAGCTCAAGTTATTACAACAAATTTAAGTAATATGCCAACCCTGATGCATAGAAATTCATCTTACCAAAGCATGGAAGGCCATGGAAGGACCATTATAGCTGACCATTTTATGCCCGGTTGGAATTACTCCTTGCACTAAGCAGACAAGGGATTCCCACTGGTTCCTCATAATAGAATCACCTACCAGCATTATTCTTTTCCTTCTCATTTTTCCAAGAAAATTCAGTGCATCAAACCTATACATCAAAAAGAAATGTCATGAGACAGACGTTCGATTATCGAATAATAATTAACCAGAAATAAATAAAAACATTAATCAACTAATCAAGGACCTTGGAATAGAGCAGCCATGGGGCTTCCACCTCCATTTCTCATAGTCAGAATCAGGCCTTCCATTTCTCTTACAAGTGACAGCAGTACTTAGATAAGGGCAACTTGAATCATAAAGAGGATACGACTGATCATAAACCCATTTTCCTGAAGTAAAATCACAACTACTACTTGATGAGTCATGCCTTGTTTGGACCATGTTAACTTCACTATCCTCCTCATTGAGCCAGGACAGCCCATCCTCTAAGCCAAACTGAGATGACTTGCAATTGAAGAAGCAGAGAAAAATGGTAAAGAAAAAGAAGAGAAATGGTTTAGCCATTGAAGAAGTTCAAATGGAGCTCTTACTAGACAAGAATTGGTGGGTAGATGAATTGAAGAAGAAGAAGCAGCTATAATAATGAAAGAAGACAGAGAGAGAGTGCGTTGGTGTTATGTTGTTTCATTAAGGCATGAGTTACGGAGGGAGTGGGACCCATAAGAAATGTTCTTTCCCATCATTACTTTTGCTTCTAGTAATTGTTATGTCTATCAATTTGCTTTTTTACCTTCTTTACATAATATTGTGTTGGCTAAAGAGAGAAGAACCATTCAATTCTTCTCAACAACATTGATTGTGTATCTGCAAATTCTCTTCCTTCAGCAAACATATGCACATTACGCTTTCAGCTAAGCATATGGCAAAATCCAATTCTTTTCATTAGGTTGGTTTGGTTGGAATCAAATTGAATCATTGTAATGGAATAAATTGAATTTTTATATAGAAAATAATAGAATCGAATCAAATTACCTATGGAATCAAATGAATTGAATCGATTTATTTTTAATTTATATATATTTTTTAATTTTTAATACTTCAATAGAAAAAAAATTCAATTTTTTTACTAAAACTAAAATCAATTGTTTTCTTAAAAAAAAAAAATCAAACTAAATGATTTAATCCATTAGGATGAATTTTATTAATTATTGTACATTCTGCCTTTCATTATCCTCTCATTCCATTTAGAGATGGTAGTGTTAATAGGGAGTAATTCATTTAAAATGCCTTGAACTTTGCTGATTATATCAATTGCACCCCATTTTAACCTTAACCGATGGAACATCGATTTTGAAAGTTTTATAATAATTGTACCTTAATTTAAATTTAATATCTAAAAAATCAATAAACAATACAAATATAGGTCCCACGGACTGACACATAGATTAAACTAATCCAACCCCAAACCTCAACTCAAAACGCATCGTTTTGCCTGAACCCCTCTCCTTTCTTTTCCTCCTCTTTCTTCTTCTCCAGGTCGCCTCTTCCAACACTTAAAAGCTGAAACTATTTCTGTTTGTGAGCAGATTGATGGGTGCCTAATGCCACCAGATGGACCATATTCATGGCCAGAAGCAAATAGCCAAAAACAATGGATAGTCTTTTATAGAATAGATGGTATGACTCTCACTGGAAAATGAACTATTGAAGGCAATGGAGACAAGTGGTGGGATCTCCCTTGCAAATCTCACAGGGTAATTTTACTTTATCTACTCTTGCTCTCTGTTTTCGTAATATTTTCATCAACTATCTGATTCTTTGATGAATAATCATGAACTCCTCTTAGAATTCAATTAATAATGCCATCCTAAATGTGATTTCAAGGTCCTAATGGAGGTTCCTCGAAAGGACCATGTGACATCACTGCAGTAAGTGATAATTAAACAACCAAATTACAAAAGCATTTCTTTATTTATTTTAAGTTTCACATATTAATTAACATCTTTAATTATTTGTTTTGATTCAGCTAATTCAGTTTTTCATGAGCTCCAATAAGATCGGGTGAAAGCGTTGGAAGAGGCCACCTGGAGAAGAGAGAGAGAAAAGGAAAAGAAAGGAGAGGGGTTCAGGCAAAATAGTGCGTTTTGAGTAGAGGTTTGGAGTTGGATTAGTTTAACCGATGTGTCAATGTGTGGGACCTATATTTATATTTATTTATTATTTTTTAGACATTAATTTTAAATTAAGGTACAATTATTATAAAATTTTCAAATTGAAGTATCTAAGGATTAAGGTCAAAATGGAGCGCAATTGATATAATCGATAAAGTTCAGCGTATTTTAAATGAATTACTCATTGATAAATAGTACTTCATCATATATATTATACTAATAGAGTTACAGGTAAATGGGACCCAAAAAATTTAATTTAATTAAGAATTATGTTTTTTTTAGATAAAATTAAAATATAATTTTTTGATTTAGACTATCCATTATTTCAAGTCTATTAGCTCAATTAATCTGGATTCGTCTGTGCAAGTTCATGAAGAGGCAAATTTCTCTTGTGTTTAAAAAGATTCCATATTCGGGGCTCGAACTCAAGATATCTTTTTAAGGGAGAAGGGACTTCTGTCATGTTATGAAGTGAAGCTTGGAGAAGAAGAGATCATTTAATAAAATGGTACATTGTGGCTTATGAGGCGACGTAACACCATGCTTAATCAATAAAGTTTCTTAAAATTTTATAAAAACAATTCAATTAACTTCAATTAGAAAGCTTCATGAGATGTGTAGCCAAAATTACTTTCATGCTGTAACAGCTATAATTGAGACGTATGTTGGATAATTGAGATCTAATACAATTCTCTCAATTTCTTCTTCTCTCTAAGCACTTTTTCTTCTATTCTATTCTTCTCTTCTTATTCTTCTTCTCTTGAACTGAAACCCACCATCAAGTTTTCTTTATAACTCATGCTCATGAAGCAATTTGAAAAGAAATAGTAATTCTGTATTAGAGTTAGAGCACATATAAGAGACTAGGATACAAGATATGGTTCATGAACTCAAGGGCCTCATCGAGCTAGATTTGGAAGTAATGCTTATGATGATCCTGTGACCCTGATCTTAGTACTGAGACGTAGGAAATTCTGTCACGATTCCAACAATGCAAGAATTAGCTCGATCAGACACTGTTGGGCCTCAACTTTTCCTACGGAAGTGAAACAACACCTGTATTGATGAAAAAGAGCAGAAAAGAAACACTTTTCATGGTACCATAGGGAGGTCCATTAGGGCACACCCATGGTACCTTGTGGGGGCTCCATGGTACTATGGGACCCTCATGTTACCATGGTTGGCCTCCAACAAATAAAGTTTTGTTATCATGCATGTTCTGAACTTCATAATAAGAAGGTTCAAAGATCACTCTTCTATTTTTATCACAAATCTGACTCACACTTAACAAGTTATAATGTAATCCTTCTACTAGGCATACATCTTCTATTTAGTTTTGTTATCATGCATGTTCTGAACTTCATAATAAGAAGTTCAAAGAATCATCTCTTCTATTTTTATCACCAAATCTGACTTCACACTTTAACAAGTTATTAATGTAAATCCTTCTACTAGGCATACATCTTCTATTGAAGTGTTCTATTGAAGGATTAGAACCTACCACACCAATACCAACGATTTTACCTTTTGATTTGTCTCCAAAGCTCACTGTACCTTCCTTTTTCTTTTCCAATCTGGTGAATTTCTTTCTTTCACTAGTCATATGCCTAGAGCAAGTGCTGTCCATGTACTAGATTTCTATTTTCAGCTCACTCCTTAGGCACACCTGAAAAGATCATGCAGATTTAGGTATCCAACTCATATTGGGTCTTGGAGGGTTAGTGGTAATAGGTGTATTCAGCTTACTATGATTTTTCTTCCTATTAAGACTGTTAGATTTCTGATGTTCTAAAGTCACAACATTAGAAACAATATTTTTCTTATTAGAAACATGATTCTGTTTTGAAATGCTATCATAGCTAAAACTTGTCTTTTCTTTAGAAAACGACTCTGAAAATGACATTAGAATTCTAATCTCAGTTTTCAAATATTCATTTTCAGAATTCAGATTCTTACATTTTTCTTTAAAGTGTTTCAGATTTTCAGAAAATTTATCATTATTTTATCTAATTATAAATCTTTAGATCTTTGATTCTTCTATGATAAGATCATTACATGTTAACATTCTGATAAAAAGCATCTTGATAAAAAGCATCTTTCAAATGATTACATTCAGTTTTTAACTTTCTGAAATCCTTCTTTAGAACTTTATGCTTTTTAACAAGCTTTTCAAATTCGGTGCAAAGGTTATTATAAGTATCTAAAAGATCATTTTCAGATTCAGATTCAGATTCAGAAACACTTACATTGCTTTCTTCACGCTTTTGGCTCATTACATCTGTTTTATTACTTTTAGCTTTTTGTGTTGAAGTCAGAGTGCTGATTTCCTTGGAGTCAGAATTGATAGTGGCCATTAGACAAATATTTGCAGTCTCCTCTTGGTCACTTTTTTCAGAATTATAATCGTCTGCAGTCACTCCAAGCAGCTATAATTGCCTACTTAGCTTTTCTTTTCCTTTGACTTCTTTTTCAAGCTTAGCGACAGTTGGCTTGATATGGCTGGGCTTGTTGCACTCATAACAAACCACCTTCAGAAGTTCTTTCTTAGGCAAGTTACTATTTTTAGCGTGGAAAGTTCTTTTTGATAATTTTTTTTTATGGCCTTCCACTCTTTTTATAGAACTTTTTGAATCTCTTTAGCATAGTGCTAAATTCATTCACTATTTTTCAAGAATTCAGAAGAGCTTCTTCGCTAAAACTACTTTTCAAAGCTAATTTCCTTTCTTTTTCTTATCTTCTACAGTCAAAGAAGATTTCATCTCTTTCTGAAACAGGCTCCTAATCAGATATTCATAATAACGGGAGTCTCTTTGTAATTTCATAACAGGTTCCTATAGGAATCCCATTTTTAGGCCAGAATTCTAAGGATTTTTTCTTATACTAAGGATTTTCTTAATAAGCTCATCTTCTGAAATTTCCTTTCCGAGAGTTCTCAAAGGATTAACTATATTAGTAAATCTATAATTTAATTCAGCAATGGTCTCTCCTTCTTTCATACTAAACATTTCATATTCTCTCCAGAGGATATTAATTCTGGATTCCTTCACTCGATCAGTACCCTCATAGGTAACTCTAAGTTTCTCACTAAGTCCTCGGACATACTTCATTCGTGCAAGTGACCTAAGTGGTCCAATTTCACTAAGTCTATGGCTCAGACATACTTCATTCACCCAAGTGACCTAAGCGGTCCAATTTTGCTACGTCCTTAGATTGGACATTCTTTGTTCGCCCAGGTGACCTAAATGGTCTAATTCGCTAAGTCCATAGCTCAGACATACTTCATTCGCCCAAATGACCTAAGCGATCCAATTCGCTACGTCCCTAGCTCGGACATACTTCGTTTGCTCAAGTGACCTAAGAGGTCCAATTTCGCTACGTCCCCAGCTCGGACATACTTCGTTCGCCCAAATGACCTAAACGGTCCAATTTCACTAAGTTCCTAGCTCGTACATACTTCGTTCGCTTAAGTGACTTAAGTGGTCCAATTTCACTAAGTCCCTAGCTTGGATATACCTAGTTCACCAAAGTGATCTGAACGGTCCTATTCACTACGACTATTGCTCGGATATACACAATTTGTTTATGTAAAAATGCTAAGTATAAATATTGATACGGTAAAGAAAAATGCTAACTTAGTGAAATACACACAAAAAAAAAAAAAAAAAAACAAAAACACAGCACTTAAAAAAAAAAAAAAAAAAACACAGCACTTGAACAAAAGGAAACAACCTCTTTGCATTCCATTAAGTTAAAAGGACTATAGAAGCATAATGGCGTAAGTACAAAATTTAGCCTATACTACATCATCACTTTGCCTCCCAAAAGAAATGGCATGGATGTTTGCATCCTTTTCTAGCCAAGGAGGCGAACCATCTCTATTTAGGTCCTGTGGTGCGTATTTACCCCAGTTTCCTCGCCACCCCCATCCTCTTCATTAGCCTCGTCAGGGTAAATCTCATTCACCCAACTCCAGTCCACCCTATGCTACCTCGCCTTCAGCCTCGATAAAATGTTTGACTCAGGCTCAAACACGCCTTGGCCAGATCCTCCTGTTGGGTCCCTTCTTGTTCCTGAAGCCCCTGCAGCTCTTTCTCCATCTCTTTCCCTATGCTCTCAAGCTCCTTCACTTTACGCTCGAGCTCTTTGTTTTTGTTAAGTAAGTCCCAGTTCTCCTCCGTAAATTTCTCTATTTCAACTTCCTGAGCAATGATATCTGCTTTGTGCTGAGCCTCCTGTTCCCTGATAGAAACCTTAACACTTTTTAGGGCGTCGTCCATTTGGTTCTTCTTTATCTCCATCTCAGCATAGCCGGACTTCAGTTTGGATATTCGAGCAAAGTGCATGCTGTTAGCACTCATGGCTTGGAACAAACATTTGTTAAGTAGGTCTCTAGTTGCCAAAACATCCAGATGCTCATAATAACGAGATTCAGCAGGAAAAAGGCAATTACGAGATATTTCCTAGCTAGGCCCGTCGTCCTAGAGATTGCTTTTCGCCCCATACTTATACATGAAATGTCCTCGGATGTTCAAGGACCTTGAATGAGCAAGAGGGGGGATAGGAGGCAGAGCAAGGACATTTGTTTCCCTTTGCCTTTTTCTAGAAGGCTCGGCAATCAGGCTTGAAGGAGGTAGCTCAGAAGGAGCAATCCTTACTGTAACTTCAACTTCTGCTAGTTGAGTGCTTAGCACCTCGGAAGGTATCTATTTTCCCAAACCGTCAGCAGCAATTTTCTTTTTCATTACTTCAGCAACCTTGGCCATCTTAGAGCTCTTCGATTTTTGGAGGGCCATTCATATGTAAAAAAACAAGAAAGGAAAATTAAAAGGCGTCAGTTTAAAGAACCAAGGGCAAAATGGTTAAGAACAAAGCTTATTATGGATGGAAGGGTTGGGCCTCATGGGTCCACAAATGGTTAAGAACAAAGCTTATTATGGATGGAAGGGTTGGGCCTCATGGGTCCACTAGGCGAATAGGTTGGATAACCCTCCATTATCACCTACCTCAGGTTCATGCAGCCAAGTCCCCTAGCTTTTATTAACTCTGCGCAAGTTTGGTCATAAGGAGTGGGCAAAGCCGAAAGGTGG